CTAATCACAAGCTCACCTGAAACCAATCACACACAGCTGCTACCAATAACACACACTATATAAATCAGTCTCACACCACCATTCAACGCCGAGTATTGTTTAGCGTATATCACTGTTTAGCTGATAGCTACCTTACGGAGCCTGCTTTAGTTTTCCTAGCCTTATCTGAGTCTTGCCTTGTCTGTTTTCTCATGTTCTGATTATTGCCTGTGTACCTGGATTATCCCTCTAGTCTCGCCCCGTTGGATTACGCTCGCCGTCGACTGACCCTCGCTTGTTTACCGGACTGCTCTTGCCTTGTCTTCTACATACCAGTTTGCCATTGTCTGACCCATGCCTGTTTCTGACCACGTCTTCTAAATAAAGCTTGCAAATGGATCCGCACGTCTCACGTAACAGTTATATAAGGATTAAGACTTGAGTTACTTTTAAAATATTAACGAGTCCTTTTCCTCGAGTCGAGTCCGTCCATATAAGCTGCCAATGCTCCGCATACCCAGGCCATTTTAGAGAATAAGTTCACGGGATAATTCATATAAACATGATTATAAGTTGATCCCTTGTAATTTGAAGTGTAACTTAAAGATTAAAGAGTTGGGAATAAGTACGTAAAATTATTTATTTGCCAAAAGGCAGTAATTTTCTTTAAATCTACCAGTTGTGGTTGCTTCCGGGCGAGCGGATTCTCCGCAGCTTTCTGGCCTCCGCTGTTGATATGACTCATCAGGACTATATTGCGTTCTCTGATTTGCTGGTCTGCGGTTGATTTAATGTGTGAGGTAAGCTGTTCCAGAAGCGCATGCCCAAGCGGAAAAATGCGCCGTTCCTGTCAGATCTCGATTGCCGAGAATCACATTGTGTTTGATGCAAAACCAACTCGACTAAATCAAAATAAAAAAAACACTAAATGTACATTTTTATTTTCTCAAGCAAAGCTAATTTTAAAAGTCCACTGAACCCATTACATTTTTGGTCATAGACAACATATGCTGAAGATATACGTTATTGTCAATGTTATTGCCTAAGCTGTAAATTTAAAAAATGTTTATAAAAACGTTTGCTATACAAAATTTTAATAATAACAAACATATTGTTCCCTTTGTTTTGCGTATGCTCGTGAAATAATGTTTCCCCCCATCTCCCCACCCTCTGATTACGTATCATAACGTAACTATGTGTAAACGTATTTGGCGGTTTTTACTTAGAAAACCAGCTATATTTTTCTAGCATTCGAATAGCAATGGATAAGCCTGAAATGATAGAAGAAGGATTGGAGATGAATTTCATTTACAAATAAGGTAGGAGATGTGCATACTTTTAAATCGATTTCGATTTAAATTTTCGATTTTGAAAAAAGTTTCTTATTTGTCATATGTGATCCCTTTCGAGTGTCCTAAAAGCCGATGGGGGGAGGGGGGGGGGTCTTATCACTCAGCATACCCGATGAAAAGCCACTGATTTCAGGTCGAGTCTGAAGTCAAGTCTAAAGTATTTAAAGTCACTAACTCGAGTGCCCATCTCTGGTACATGGAACACGGCTTTTAATAGGGCTGTGCTCCTTGCAGAGACGTGTATCGCAAACAGATGCTTCTGTATTGATACAGCAGCAAATGTAGCAGTTTTGAAAAAGAAACACAAAACAGGAAAGACCAATTTAAGTTAAATAATTTTTTTCTTTGCACCTCTTAATTACTCTGAAATTAGAAGCTGAATTATATTATTGATATTATTATTATTATTATTATTGCGTTTACAGGGTACGGTGGTTTTGCTGTTGTAAACACTACTGTTGCTGTTGTAGAAAAAAACTTTGATCTAGGCTGTCTGCAGGCTTTAGGCATCACACTGTCAACTGCCTAGCCACACCTTAGCAACCATTTAGAGGATCATTGCAACTGAATAGTATAGTATATATATTTCTGTCATGACAACTCTCGGAGGGATTGGCATGGTAATGTACATGACAATGTTAATGTATTTGGTCTTGGCGGAATAGATCTGCTACACTGCTGCTGCGGCAGAGCAAGTACCAAGACTTGCTACTGCCAAGACATCCACAACATGCTGCTGTAAGCATGTAAGAAATACTGCTGCTGCACATATAACAGACATGAATAACCCCCCACAAAGCAGGAGACACGTTACACAAAACAATACAAGCCAATATATGCATGCCGCTGAATATAAGGATAAACTGCTGCATCAGTGGACATGCATGTATCAACACACACGAAGATGAACAGACAAGGAAAGACAAGACACCCCCCACAAAGCAGATCTATCGCCAAGACATTTATACTTAAGTTATCAGGACTGACTTGAATTAACAAATAAAGCAGAATATAAACGTTCTTTCTCCATTTTCTGAATTACACAGCACAGCAATAGCACACGTCACATGAGCACATTTCTCCGAACTACGCTACCCATAATGCATTTCACTCGGAACTGCAACAACCATAGCGATAACTCTTAATTCCCTTCTCCCGCAACACTATCATTGATATGACTGTGATAAGCGCGTGCTTCTGACGCTGCGTGCAACTGAAATCAACCACGCACTCATCACAATGAAAACATCAACCTTAGAAATAACGAACGTGAACACTGGGATAATCGCCGATGTATATGGAGAACCCCATTTGAAATGCATACACAAGAATGCTTATTTCCAGTTTTCATATTCGTTACTTGACGTGTCCTCAGAGCGATTACAAGCTCTAAACTGCCTTTTGCTCCAGCTGTATAAACACATGCTAAATGCTGCTGCTAATATGCTTAATATTTCACTGCTACATCAAATTCAAACTGCTAACATGACATTCAGTTTCAAATTGTTTACGGTTGCTCATTTTGTATTCAGTTAGGCAGACCACGCAAATATACACAGCGATATTGATTAAAAGAGCTTTACTTATCTTAGTTGTTGAATTAGGCTGCTCTGGAGTGCACTGCCAACTGCTACAGCAGGGTTCCTCAATTAGTTTTCACCGAGGGCCGAATTCGGCCAACAATAACAAACAAAAAATCTGGATCTCCATGTCTGCCATGCAAATCAAATCAACAGACACGATGCAATAAAAAGTATCTTTTCCATGCAGTTTTTGTCCTAACCACCCGCGATAGTGGCACGTGACAATAAGCGACATGGGATTCAATTTTAGGAACGGTTTTTATTTTCTGTGACGTCGCGGCAGGAACAACATACAAAATATTACAGTGATAATCTCAGGTAATGATTATGTGCTTTATTCAATGTTAAAAGTGTCTAATGTGAGTTTGAATATTATTTTGCGTTATCTTTATAGCCATAGTGAAAGCAACAATAGATGTTGTACCTCAGATCTTGAAAATAAATTAAAGCAAACTTGTACGTTAAAACTGTGAACTCACTGCGAACCAACAGGTGAATTCCATAAAGATATCAGTCACTCACTCACTCAAAATTGTTCAGTCCATTCACATTTGAATCATATATTTTCCGTGTCCACTTTTCTTTTCTACACACTTGCCATGTTTTTGCTGTCACATCGAATCTACACTGGATGCGACAAAGCATTGCAAATCATTTGAATGAGTCAGCAGTTTACTGTCGGGGATTTGTCGTGTCGCGCCGCATCCGAGACAGTATCAATACGAGTTCTATTGTATGTTATTGCGTCGCGCCGCTCACGTCCGGTGTAGACACGATGAAAGTTAATGTAGCTTTCTGATGCTGCGTTTGAATTTTCATGCCACATTATTTGAAATTAACGCGGGCCAAACTTTTTTTTTCTCACGGGCCGGATGTGGTCCGTGGGCCGCCTATTGAGGAGCCCTGTGCTACAGCAAACAAAAGCCAGGTATTTGAATATTGAGCAGCGAGCTTATTGGCTACCGATACAGGAGAGAACCAATCAGCTCCCATTTGACAATGATGTCGCCAGGTAAGATTGAGTTAGACCTATCGGACTGCGCCATCTAGAGTTTCATGCCAGAACTCTATTTATTTAATGTCATGTCAGCATCAAAGTCTATTTTCATGGCAAAAACAATTAAAAAAAAATACAAGTATAACAAATAAAATAAAAACCAGCAAACAAATAAACACAAGTTATATCACACAAGATTTTTTACATTAACGTGATAAAAATTCTAAAACTTTTCCTGGCAAAATTTTACTAAATAACTCTTTAAGTGAGTTCACTTCATAAAAGAGTTTTCTCTAGACATTAAAAGCTGGACAGTCCAATAAAATATGTTTAACAAAAAGGGGAACCTTGCAAAACATACATTGAGTAGGGTCTTCACCTTTAAGCAAAAATGCATGAGTCAGTCTTGTATGACCTATGTGACATCTGGTAAATCAATGCAACTGAAGAGTAACATGAATAAGTAATGTCTTGGCACAATAACAGCGTAGAGATATGGTGGTTGGCTCTTTTGATTCAGGCAGACAACAATTCAATAAATTAGCCAAACAACTGCTATGCCCACCCAAGTAACCATCCAGAGCAACTATAGCAATTATATGGCAGCACGAATAAGCCATATCTCAGCACCACAACACTGTACTAACAATCTATCTACCCTTAAATCCTTCTAATTTCAACAATGTACTTCAAGCTTAAATCCATTTAAATCTCAAAAACTTCAAACTTCTAGATTTTGGCCAGACTTTCTCGAGCCAATATCAAGGTTTATCTTAACACTTTTATTAAGTTCATTTTTGATGTGAAATGGTTGTAACCGTTTTAGTACGACAAAGGTTTATTCAAATCCACAAAAAGACTCCCATCTTTATCCTACAACCTGTAAAATAAATCCTAAGCTTTTCTGGTTAATTGGAGATCTTTTAGGAGTTATTCATATTCTTTAATATGTATTATTTATTAATTTATGTATTATTTAAAGGTTTAATTCTAGAAATCTTTTTCATTGGATTCACCACAATGAGTAAAACCTTGTTAAAAAGTTCAAAAGAGTTCAAAAGAGTAAAAAGTTATTACATAACATATTACTAACCTGACAATCATGAACAATGGTGACGACCACAGTGGATTCACATACGGCTCCCATGCATGCCATCATAGCATATTCCATGTCTGCAAAGCCTTCACCTTTTCCAATTCTGTAGCCTATAGACATTAGATAGCATCATTGCATTATGAGAAGATACAATTCTCAAATTGTAGAGTTAAGATGTAGAGTTACCTTTATCAGATACAGCCACTGATCCAACTATGACAAGATCCACCTGAACTTTGTCATCTAAACCGACCGGGACACTCAACTCTTTAAGACCCTTAAGCACAAAGAGTTTGTCAACTGAAGCAGATGTAGGAGACTGCAGACACACAACACATATCACATAACATCTGAATATACATGACTTCACCTGAGACGTAGAACAAACACGCAGTTCTTCTTTGGTTGCACCTTTTGGTGTAATGATCCTGTTAAATAATCCAGTTTTTAGCCGAGGTGTTGGAACAAGCAATGTTTTTCTTGCCTGTATTCAAACATAAAATGGGTTATGAATTATGGTATAGTACTAAATTAATTTTGTTAAATTATACATACAATGCAGAATACCAAACAGGTTGACGATGTACATTTAAAAATGTGGTCTGCAGTTGACAGCAAGCAATCTGAACAATATACCTGCAGAGAAGCTAGTCTAACCCCCTCTAGTGGTTTATCAGGATCTACTTTGACCACAGCAGCTTTGGTGAAGATTTCTAGCAGTGGCACCTTTTCACATGCCTCCAGTGCACCCTGAAATTGGGGATAGCACTGGATAAGATATTACTTCAGTGGAACTTACTTTTAAAGTAATGAAGCGTGCCTGTTCCTGAGGTCTGTCTGGATTCACTTTAATCACTCTGCTGGATCTAAACGTGTGCAGATCTGGGAGCCTGTTACAGGCATAAGCTGCTTCCTAAACCAACAGTCCACATAATCCTTATATTACAGATTTGTGTTAAAATATTCAAGTTGCTTTATTAAGTACATTACTGTTTATTGTTGGTCATTAATTATTTTGTTTCATAACATTCTTTTTTTTTGCTGAAAAGCCATTAAATAGGCAACTCTATTTCAAACACAAATATAGTTTAGATGACTTTTTTAACTTTAGAAAACATTTTGCATTTCAAATAAAGGTACTCAAATAAATGTCAATAAACAGTACGTCCTCATTATGACAATGTAACCCATACTTTGTTTGCCTGACTGGAGTGAGATTTGAATGACATGGGTTGCCACTGAATAAATGACACCCCTATTTGAGGTTTTAATGATCCAACCATTCATTTTTTATTTCATTTTAATAATGTAAAATACCTCAGCCTAATGCTGTAGTAGATGCACTTAGTAGAAACCATGTCTATCAACTTTTCCAATATGGAATGCCAAACCTGACAAAATTAGAAATAAATACACAAATAAATATACCATGAAATGTAAAAATGCAAAACTAATTTATACCTTTATTTCCTTATTTATGTATATTTGTTTTCACATTTCCACTTTTATTTATTTCCACATTGAAGTATTGATTTACATATTCATTCATATTTCTACATTTATTTATTTATACATTTCTTAGTCCTTAGGGCAGGGTTCCTCAATAGGCGGCCCACAGGCCACATCCGGCCCGTGAGAGAAAAAAGTTTGGCCCGCGCTAATTTCAAATAATGTGGCATGAAAATTCAAACGCAGCATCAGAAAGCTACATTAACTTACACCGTGTCTACACCGGATGCGAGCGGTGCGGCGCGACGCAATAAAATACAATAGAACTTGTATTGATGCTGCCTTGGATGCGGCGCGACACGACAAATCCCCGACAGTAAACTGCTGACTCTTCAAATGATTTGCAATGCTTTGTCGCATCCAGTGTAGATACAATGTCACAGCAAAAACATGGCGAGTGTGTAGAAAAGGAAAGTGGACACAGAAAATAGATGATTAAAATGTGAATGGACTGAACAGTTTTGAGTGAGTAAGTGACTGATATCTTTATGAAATTCACGTGTTGGTTCGCAGTGAGTTCACAGTTTTAACGTACTGGTTGTGTCTACAAGTTCTAAAGAAGGTCCAAATGTTCCTGTTTTGGTTATGGTACGGTTTCATAATTTTTATTTTTATTTTTTTGTAATTACATAAATGTCAACTGATACTTACAGTAAAGATCACAGTGGTAGACTGGGCAATATTAGGCTTATCAGTTGGAATGTTAGGGGAATTAATAGCCCTGTAAAGCGTGGAAAGGTTCTTTCACATCTCAAAACTTTAAAAGCTGATATAGGTTTTATTCAAGAAACACATCTGAAGAAGGGAAGTGAAAATAGATTAAAATCTAATTGGATTGCACAAGTGTATCAGTCTAGCTTCTCTACCAAAGCCAGGGGTGTGGCTATTTTGATACATAAGAATGTACCATTCGTTCATCATAAGACTATCTCTGACATAAATGGTAGATATATTATTGTGTTGGGCTCTATAAATTCTAAGCAAATTACTTTAGTTAATTTATATGCACCAAATTATGATGACCCCCCTATTTTTTCAAAAAGTATTTAAATTAAGCCCCAGTATTTCTGAATCAAATATAATTATTGGAGGTGATTTCAACTGTGTGCTGGACAACATACTTGATAAACAACCGAGTCAGATTGCCAGCGCGACATCTAAATCTAATGCAATGTTAAGACAGTATATGCAATCCCTAAACATTGTAGATATATGGAGAATTCTTAACCCCTCAGATAGAGATTTTTCTTTGTACTCTCATGGGCATAAGTCATATTCGCGCATCAATTTTTTTCTGCTAGATTCAAATTTAGTACCAAATGCATGCAAGTCACAATATCACAACATTATAATATCAGATCATGCTCCCCAGTCAGTTGACCTTAGATTAGATAATTTAAGAGGAGAATTTAGATAAGATTAGATCACTTAAGAGGAGAATTTAGATGGAAGTTAAATAACGCGCTCTTAAAGGATGAAGAATTTAATATAAATCTGGGAAAAAAGATAGAGCAATTTATAGAAATTAATGATAATGGTGATGTGCATGATTCAAATTTATGGGAGGCATTGAAGGCTTTAGTTATAGGGGAAATAATAGCATTTGAGATAGCCCAAAGGAAGAAAGTTAGGATGAGAATGATTGAAATAGAAACAACATTCGATGTGTTGCTGAGTGAACTAGCGGGCATTATTCATATCAAGAAGTTACGATTTATTAAAAATTATAAGCTAGATATATTTTGGAAAATATGGAAGCCTGTATTAGATCACTTAGGAATGTGATAACTTTATTTATTTACGCTGGTTTTTATACTGCATTATACCTTTGTAACTCTTAAATTTATTTACCTAAATATTATTATCTTGTTATTGTAGTATTTTTTGTATTGACTTTTTTTTTTTTTTTTCCCTCACACCCTGCTGATGTTATCGATGTGATCTGTTTGGAACTCCTTTATTTTGTGCATCAGAGATGTTTATTTGTAACTACTAGTATACCGTACTATCGTTTTCTTTTTGGACCTTTGTTCTGGAAAAACAAATGTCATATTAAAAAACTAAATAAAGTTTTAAAAAAACATATCAAGTTAGAGGAAGATGCGACTGAATTGATGCTTGAAGAATGCACTTCCAGCAGCCATGATTAACGGTTAAAGTTTTCTATGCACAATTTGATTTGAGAAAGTCAAGAGACCTATTACTCTCTATCCAATCATGTTGATGGATAAAAATAAAATTAAAATAAGCATGTAACGACCACAAACGGAGGAAAATAGCGG